CTGATTTTGAAATTCTTGAATATACCTATACTCAAAGACCACCTTTTCAAAATCTTGAATTTTTCCGTAAGTACCACCTCCGACAAGGAGTGACCTGTCTGGTTTTTCAAATAAAAATCGTTCTTTTTTTCTATAATCTATATACGGTGTATACTATTTTTAAAATCGTAATGTACCTAATTTAAAATTAATTTATCAGTCATTAAAATGTTTATAAAACAGACTCTTTTTATAAAAAAATATTTCAAGTAAATTAAATCCTGCACACAATGATTATTTTTGTCGTTTTCACGCGACCAGGACAAGTCATTATGTGGTTGGTTAAATGTTGATTTGAAAGTAAAAATTCATTGCACGCCAGTATGCCGTCAATTTTAAACATTTTACCGGTAATAATGTAAATATTGTGCTTATCGTATACGACATATTATAAAATGTTTGTGGGTGTAATAAATAACTTAAGATTATCATGCGTGTTCGTGTGTTATTATCATTTTATTAGCTACTATAGTATAAAACTAATACAGCACAACAATCATAATATGTTCATTGTTCATATATCATACTAAAATTATTTATTATTGCTTGTCATGTACTCATAAACACGATTGTTTATTTTATTACCAAAAAATAAATACTCGTGTAATATAATATCATGTCGAATAAATGTACCAACGAAATTATGAGGATGATTAAGTGTCTTATCAAACACGCGTAATTAGACCATAGCGAGTTATAAATACTGGAGTATAACGCCTACACGGACCCCGACGAAAACTATTATGATTCGATGTATACTATGACCCGCGGACGTCGTGTCGCGCAGACGACGACTGTAGGTGCACTTCTAAGCGATTATAATAATAATAATATTATGTCATTAATCGCATCGCTGGCGGATGATGTACAAGGGTGGGTTTGACGTATGCCGGAACGATAATACGACGGCCGCAATATAATATTACAGTGGTAAACCGTCCGAAAATGGTTTTAACCACCCCTCCCGCGCCACTCCGCGTGTCTCGTATTATAACATGATGGGTAATGTACACATATAACTCTGGTATATATTTTATTATTTTCGCCGGCGCCGTCTATATCCGTACGATGCATAAATCCCGTCAGCGTGCTTATATGCTTTGTAGGTACATACTTATATTGTTATGTGTACGTTTTTCACCGTTTTCCACACACACGTCATCTGCACGTCACATTATATCGGATATAATATTATTATAACTTTGTGTTATAGTATCGTATTATTATGACGTCCTATGCTGAAAACCGCACGTTGCCCGACGTCTCGAAAGGTATAATTTTTTTTCCATCCAAGCCTTGTCTGCGCCCATAGATCCTATACTGCACATAGATTAACCTATATACATATATTGTATAGTGTTAGTGTAACTATATATTATTATGTTTGTGACGATTTCTATTGAATATATTATCATGCAGTTTCTGTACGTCACGAAGACTCACGAGTATACGTGATTTGTTTCATGCGTAGGTTTTAAAGGTATATTCACACTTTAATTAAATTATTATCTTATAATAAATGTATGATACACATCGCACATATCTATCGAAATCGTATTAGTAGGTCATCACTGCGGGAGCGAACGAGGAGTTGTAAATGCGTTTAGAGCGATGTGCGGAACCTGAATTAATGTGTATTATTATTTATTACTCATATTATACACATCGATTATCTCGGTAAATACAGAATTCAGACAGGGTTATAAAGAGACGTCATCGCCATCGTCTTTGCCAACAGCAGTTTTTCGGATTAAAATTTTTTCAGACATCACTTTTGAATATGATTGCCATCGGTTTTCAATTTAGTTTTTTAATACCTAGATATCAAAAGTGCATTATAAAAATATTCGTATAACATTATGTATGGATCTTATCAAGTTTAGAAATATAAATTATTATATTCTGAAAGCAAATTTCTAATGATTATCATAATATATATATATTATGTATAGGTAGTTGGGCGTACCGTGTACGAATAAGAGAAACATTGTGATACATGCGCATAAATTCTGTATTGTACATTTTTATAAATACCTACATGGTAATTATACCTGTGCAGCAATGTTTCTTATGTATAATTCAACAATTTTTATTCATATATAAACATGTATAATATATATTGTATCATAAAACCTATATATTGTACAGTACACGCTATTTATACGGCATATAATATAATGGACATATAAAACCCAGCACAGGCTCCAATCTGTTTTTAAACGATGGGGCGAAAGAATTTCAACAAGTATCCTTTCCAAAAATATGCTGCAGTGTATTTTGAAAATATAACATACATATATTGCAGACATATTGATCTAGAAACCTTAGAGCGTTTAGACGTTACATAAAACAAAAAATGTTCGTCTCCGAAGTCTCACCTATACCAAAACTACCCACTCAATAAAAAAATGATCTGAGATTGTAAACACATAATTTAATACAATAACACTATAATTATAATCTACCTAGTATGTATGATATACTTATAATAATTTAGGCTTTTTTCTAATTATTATTATCATTTTCTAAGTCAATTTTTTTGTATTTTGAGATTTTTACGATTCGTTAGTCTTGAAATACATGATTCTATTTATTCTCGAAATGTTGATATATCCCTACTGTAACGATGCCTATACATTCTGCACGCGTGCTCGCGTATACCTACCTATAATGCAGTGCGTCTAGAATAAAATATGACTATCATCGCAGGTGATATGTGCATGTATAATTTTAAATATTATCTAGCTACATGTAGCAAAGGCAAAAGATTAATGCGCCACCTGCAAACGTTCCCGTTTAAAACGTATACATTACATAATGTTATACAATTGTTTAATATTTATCATATGTAGGTACCTATATCCATATGAGTACATTGTACGGTGGTAGCCCATTATTGTATAGCATTAAAACGCATTCAGCACACCTGCTAAAAATATACTAAATAGGTATAGGGATATATGTAAATATAAATAATACGCGAAGAGAAAATAAATATTGTAATTCGATTATGTAATGAATTAAGCGTCGATGCGTTTTTTTTTTTTTACATATAGTATAAATTAATAATTTAAAGGGCTTTGTATAGCGAATAGAGGTACAATGACACTTATCGACTTTTATATTTTGAGCTTATACATAAACATCATCGTCACAATACAACATGCCTATATAATATATATTGTATACGAATTAAAATTGACATTTTATCGTGAACTTTTTTTGTTTCATTCATGTCGCCGAGTTTAGTTCAAATTCATTGTTCGGTATTTAGTATAGGCACACACATATCCGTACATCATATATGTACACTGCATATTATGTTAATTGACACTGTAGTTAAGTTTTTAATTACAAACGGCCCAATGACATTTGCAAACAACGATAGTTAAACATTTATATTATTATTAGGTACGTTCAACGTACGTTGTTCAACTGCAAAACGGCGGACGAGCAAACATAATACAATTATTCACGTAATAATAATAGATATAGTGTCGCGAATAAATGCTATTCCGACGAAATTAAAACCAAAATACACATTCGAGTATAACACGCGATTTTTATTTATTTTTTTTTTACTATTTCGGGTTTATACCTATGTGGCTATGTGTATAAAAGTAAACACCGTTGTGTGTGTTTAATATTTATAAAGCTTAAAATGTGTGTTTGGATGACTCTAATTTATTATGCACCTCCCTAATAACAACTGTAACTATATCATAATATTATACCTACTGTAGCTACTACTGTTATAATTGACTATATTATCGGTTTTTTTTTATTATTATAATTTATAAGAAATAAAGGGCGACTATGGTATGGTCATAATTAGGGTGTGGATTTAAAATATGTAAACAGCATTTATTTTCCGAATGTCCGATTAGACACGGCTGACAAGCTTGTAACCGTCTCCGCTGGCGTTTTAACAAAAATAAAGTGTACAGGTCACAGAATAGTCAAATTAATTTTTTACGAACGTTTGAAGTTTTAGATATTGGATATTCATCAGTAAATTAACAAATTCTCATACAATGATCTTATTTGGTTGTTATTTAAAAACTAATAATTATAGGTACTATACATTTTCATTAAATGTTTATTTTATCATTTTCTACACGCATGATTAAGTTTTCAGCATATTTGACTATTTTAAGTGATTTATAAACGTTTGAAATATTTTTAGTTTTTTATTCTATAAAATATCAATAAAATTGTATTCGTTTGATCAAAAAACCTGAAAATGTTATACAAGGCTCCTGATAAATTGTAACAACAGCAGTTGAAATATATTAATAATACATAGTCACATTTTTTTTTCATAAGCATTCTAAGTTAAAAATGTAGGAAATTTAAAATTCACAAAAAAATTATTTTGTGGTTAAAAATGCATATAACAAATTTCAAAGCTTAGGATTGAAAATCTTATATAAGTTTGCATATAATTAGTTAATTTCGTAACCAAAAAGTATATAATTCCATTCTTGAAGTTTTTCCAGTACTTCGATACTAACGGGAATGTTTGTTTTGCACGAGAAAAGTTCAAAAATATTTAAGAGATTAAGAGATGACATCATGTTTCACAAATAATGCAGATCGCATATTGCCGATTACGGTGATTTCAAGCCCAACCGAAGGCTTAAACTCCCGGCGAAATGGCCACGGCTAACCGGCCACGGCGAAACGGCTACGGCGAAATGTCCCATTTCGTTTGGAACGATATTTAATGGAGTACCTAATATTTTTCTGGCCGATACAAAATCAACAAAACATTGTTGAGATAGGTTTGACTAGTATAAAGTAGTCGTAGTGATTGTCATCACTCGAAGATTATTGACATATTCTGATCATTACCCACTTGCTACTCTACCTTGAAGCATCCACCTGCGTGTCTGCTTTATATTATCGTACTAGCTTAATACGTATTTTTCAATATGTTTACCTCGTCTGAATCCATCAAGCTGCGGTTGACGGAGAGTGTTAAGATGAAGTCAGTGTTCGAAGAGCTGAGATCGGCCAAATTTCATATACCATCGACGTTTCCAACCGGAGTTAGAACAGGGCCGGCCACAATAAGATACTCGTCGACGCCGAACGTGGCCACGACATGTCGTCGACACTCGGTAGGAGACGCCGAGTTTTATCAGTCGTCGTCAGTCCCGTTCGAACAATCGTCCAAGTTACTTCAGCGGCCCAAAGACATCGGACGAAACTTACTACCATCCTTTCCACCGGAAAACGATATGCCCGTAGCGAACTGTGCAGGACAAACTTCCCGTCAATACATGTCGCTGGTCGACGATGCGATTAGTTCCCCCGTTGTGGATACACCGGACAGAGTTGACACGACATCGTGTACGTCTGAGCCGGAACTTCGGGTAACACCGGCTGGCATCTTGAAGACAAGCGAATTCGGTGGCTGTCGGTGGTCCTCAGCACCGAACATCCTCCCGCGTTGTTCACTGATGGACCGGACCGACCAGAACCCGAAACGCATGACAAATGTAGTGACGTCACTCGTCAGGAGTTGTTGGCCTGCAGCGAGCCCATACATCCCAAACGGCGTCGCACAATTTGGAGACGGACGAAGAAATTCGTCCGGCGCATGTTGTGCTGCGCCGTTTGAGGTTAGGTTAAAAGTAAAGCGAGCAAAAAAAAATAAATGTTACAGTTGCATAATATACTAGTCGTTTATACAATTATTGAAAAAGTTATAGAGACAAAAGAATATATTTTTCTTGTTTAATAAAATTATTCAATACAGAGACAATTATCAAACTTTATTTATTTGTATTAAAATTGATATTTAAATAGTTCCTAAATTAGGTTCTTAACGATTATATCTTATATTACTTAAAATATGTCTTAAATAAAGTAAAAACTAATTAAAGTAAAAGTGAAGTGCCCGAGTTGATGGACTTCAAAGATAATCTTACTCGCAAAATTGATATCATTACCTACATAAACTAATAATAAAATCCTTATATTTTATTTAAGTATAATAAATATTTACTTTAAAAATGATGTTCGACCTTAAGTTAAAATAAAAAAATAAGTGGTTTACTGTACTAATTCACACGAATAACGATTTCGTGTTATGTCATTTTTTATCGGTTTTTTTATAGTATTAAAAACTAAAGTGATTAAAAGTGAATGAAAATGATATTGAAAATTTAATTCATGGAAATTGTGAAATTTGTTATTACCTATGTCCTATATGAATAATATGTAATGTAGTCCATAGCCCATAAGCCCCAATCAAATTTTGACTTTTTATTTACTTCAGAAACTATAATACCTACTTAGTGAAAGTTCCCAGCATCATCAATATTTTAAGATTATTTTTATTAGTAGAAAAAATATACTATTTTTCGAGTATACCAAACTCTAAAAATCGACAAGACATTCATCTAACAATCAGTTTATTGAAGAAATTGTTCAAACTATTATAGATACCTCTAAAGATAGTAGATACTCTTTAAACAAAATATAATAAATCTATATAGTATATAATCTATATTTAAAATCATGGTTTTTGAACTTAACTATACTTGAAAGTAAAAATAAAAGAAATACAAGATATTTTTATGACCTGGGTATCATTTTATTTTTGTATAAATATTGAACATTATAAGACGCGTATACATCGTGACAATGAATTATTTGAAGGTGCAGTTTTTCCCATCAATACAACTGGAATTCTCGCTGTTGGATTAATAATTAATTATTAGTATTAGTGAATTGTTCACCTTGCGGGTTCCTTAATTGATGTGCTCTATTAGCCAGTACACATATAGCAGTATTCCTAAAAAAAAAATGGATAATATTTATGAAAAGAAAAAAATGTGTACATAATATGTAGATTGTAGGTATAGACATTTTTCTATACTCTAGTTTTTAAAATGTTTCTAATAATGATTGAATAATTTTGGGAACTAAAAGATAAAAGGGATGTGACAACAATTTTAACCGATATACGCCAATGTTATTAAACATTATAAAAAAGAAAAAAATAATAAACCCTCAATTGAGAGTAGAATTAGAGAGCTAAACGATATCATAATAAATAAAAAATATGTAAATAATATAGTACAGTTATAAAAAATCTGTAAAAATAAATAAAATAAAAACAACATTTTTTACCACAGAACACAACTAATAATTAACAATTCAGATGCATTAATTATTGTTACAACTTTCTATATGTTCTGAAGAATTAATTAAAAATAATAATTATTGTACCTATACTGATAGTTATAAAAAAATGTATACTTATGATCAGGCTTGCGATTTTATAGCATTCGTATATTTCTTATAAGATACCTTCAAAAAAAACAGAGTAAAAATGTATTTCATGATACAGAGAACTCAAATTAAAAATTGTGTTTTGTATATTTTTGCATATTTTGAAGAATTTTTAGATTTTATGGGATATTTTGCAATTTCATCTGTTTTTGAAGCAAAATTTTTTATTGCCAGGAAATTGTATTTTAGTAAACGTGTTTTTAGATTACTGTCAATCGAATTGGCAAAGTATATTATAATACCAATACAGATGAAGTAAATGGACTGATTACGCGAAAAAGCTGATACTTAATAATTTATACTCATAATTTCGTAGTATTTGGTTCAAATGTTTAACTTTTGTTATCTACTGATTTTGTTGGTGTTTTTTTTTTGTCGATCTCTACTGCGATTATCATTGAACGAATGTTAAATGCGTTGTATACTCTATACCCGAACAGTTTGGTCAGTAATTTTCCTTTAAACTCACTATACCATCGTTTACATACAGTTATTACTTGTCATACATATTATTACACCGGTACGAACTTATTGCTATTTTCTCATATTTAATTAAATTATAGTTCATTGCAGAAACAATCGTTGAGTCACGTCCGTTATAGGTCGGATGCCCGGGCCTATCACGCGGATGTCTAATTGTTATTATTATTATTGGACTTCCACAGGATTGGCGGCGGCGGAGACTTGTCGCTAATCTAGCGGGCGCCGATTACCGGTCTTCAGGTGAAAAAAACCATTTTTTTTTAATCCAATCGGCTCTTTTAAAATTCGTCCATTTACATCGTTTTCGTCGCGTGTTAAATTGGCAAAGGGATTATACGAAAAGCACATAATTATTTTTATGTATTATGAAATTATTTACAGCGACGAACTGGCCCGATGGTGTACCTATAGCGGTTAAAATATATGACTATAGACGGTTCTGCATGTGAATTCAAATTTCCAACGACGGCGAGCGGCTTACCCACACTGCCGACTGTTTAAGGTCGTAGCCTAGTTAAATAATAAAAATATCATGTCCATCGCACATTTTATCGACTACGATATTTTTGAAAATAAAACGTCTAGTAAGGTGTCTCTAATATTAGTTATAAGACAACTACAACAGTAGAATTTAATAACATCTGACAACCAACTCGCATGAGAGTATGTGAGTACCTCGAATGTGACCGTGGAAATTATTTAAAATTTCGAAGATGTGATGTGTGTTGGCTGTTAACGGATTTACTTGGCGGTGTCGAACAAGCAGCCACGATAAACAAAAAAAAAAATTGTTACTACGCGGTCCATAAGAATGGATATATTTTTTAATAGAACACATTTATCTCTATACCAAATAATATCTTTTGCATATTTATGGCTTGAAAATGTTACATTATCGTTAATCAAAAATCAAATAAACACTTCTTAACCATCCGCTGTTGACTGGACACATTCCACCGTGAAATTACGTTCGATGCTATGATTACAAGCAATACAAAAAATGGTTAGTTTTTATTTTGCTCCGCTCAGAACCGTTTTCCGTACCTATACAATAATTTCTCATTGAGTTCATATTATTCAATCCAAGTGAATTGACCTTAAACGTTTTATACTCTATAATAGCAGGGGTGGCCAATATGAATATGTTCGCGAGCCATATGGATAAATACAATGATATCAAGAGCCAAAATGTTTATAAATACATTTTATAATTTTTATAATTTTATCTAAGTAATAAAGATAGCTAACAACTGATAAACACACCAGATTACGCATAAGAATTGACCTATAAATGTTTGCAAAAAAAAAAAAATCATAATAATAAGTACATTTTTGGTTTTTGTTAATAAGACGCGTGCCGCATGAGACTATGACACAATAATAAACCGCAAGTCGGTCACTCCTGCTCTATAGCTTTAAACAACACTATGCCGAAAAAAAATGACATGGCTAATCAATTATATAATATGGAGATACCGCAACCATGATTTTTGTCATAATATTATGTATCAACAGCGCGATTTGGCACAGCAGCGAAACCATCTAGCTTGGAGCTATAGTTACCACATTTCTGCAGCTGTCGGAGATAGTGAGAACGAAAGTAATGGCTAATCGTGGAGTACTATCGTAGGTATATGTTAAATACCTTAAATTACGCTAAAGTTTAAATGTTATTACGGAGTCATTCAACTAGCGGAATCCTACTCTGGCGATGGACTGAAACACTATCATCAGCACTGCAGCTGTACATCATATAAGACGTAACAAGTATCACATTGTTCATTTACTTCAAAATCATATTATAATTTTCGTACAAAAAATTAATATATAATATAAATGTAAGTCATTTTTCAGTGCTAGGGGAATCCAAAAGTGCAACACAACAAATATTTATTTTAAGATTTAAATGTCTTGTTGATTAGAAAGGGTACCCTAATCCATCTACGTTCAAGAATTTATAAGGTGAATTACTATTTAATAAGCCAATATTATACATTTCATATGTCCATAATTTTTGTGTTTAATTTATTTGATTATTTATTTAGAATTCAATGTTAAACGACTGTAATATATGGTGATGCGCTTGTCACCGATTGATTTAAAATTATTTTCTTTTTTCATAATTTTTAATACATAATAATATATGACTTTATAATGTAATATGAGCAAGGCAGTAAAGTCGTGAGAACAATAGCCAGTGGTCCCAAACAATGAGACACAAATTGTGAACAAAACTCTTGTCGTGACTTCGTGAACATCATCACTGCAATTGTCGTGAACGAGAAACTACCCAGATGGCATTTGAAAAACGATAATCTTTTTGAAATATTTTACATCCTCTTAATGTTTTTAAAATGGTTGTGCGGGAAAATGTTCGGAATTTTATCATTTCCCGAATTTCGTCTGTACCTTGGTATCGTCAGCAGGGCAGTATAGAGTCTTAGCCGAGGTACCTAGCTATATAGTATTCTTATAGGCAAGACTACTGGACGATATTAGTGAACACGTGACATCAGTCTTGAGCATGCGAGACAGTATATAGTTATTATGGAAGAGGCAGGTGAGTAATGCGAAGGTGCAATACGCTGTACGCCTATAGTCATGAAAAATACATAAGTTAAAAAAAAAACACTAAAATAATTTTAAATCAAACGGTGATGAACTCATTAACATTTTACATTAGTTAACGTTCATTTCCGAACAGTTTAGTATAATTTATTCAAACACTAAAATTGCTGACATCCTGAAATCGTAAATCATTCGTATACTGAGAATATTGTTTAAATACTCCTGTGCTACTCCATTCCTTATACCTACTATTCGTTCAACATTTGACTTTAATGGATACATTAAAACATTATGCTTGGGAATATCAAATAAAAATGAGCGGCTGTACTTACAAAAATATTTTTATTTAACAACTTATTGAAATTATATAATATTTGAAAATATATTTCCAAATATGTTAATACTTTTCGAGAAAACGAGTTTTGCATTAAATAGAATCGTCTTGTACTGTACAGTTACAAATTCCAATTGAAAAAAAAAAATAATTTAATGGAATCACATTAATTAAAAATTGTTATCATGTATTTCTTGTAAATATAATATGTATTTATAACGACTATAGTTAGAAAAATATTACTATAGTACAAAAACATGATCAAGAAACTATACTAACAATAAACTACTTTTTATATATTATATGTTTCTATTAAAGATAAATCATTTTTTTTTCTTTAGAGTCAAACAATTAGCTTTAACAATACTTACAAATTACATTTATCAGTTATGGTAACTGGTGATAACTATGTTTAATATAACGCAATTTTTAAAAAAATCATTGATTTATGTATCGTTTTTAAAATAAACTACGTTATAGTATACAAATACTTCATTGACGAAAGAACGTGAATCCGAAAAACTTTACGGCATAAGTCTAAACCCATAATTTTAACTTGTAGTCTACAGTTATGGTTTTTGAATTTATAAAGTAATTATTTTAATACTGCGCATAAACAATTTTAACGATTCGACGGAAAACAATAAAAATAAAACACCTAAACATCAATTTCCTGAAAAGCAAAATAATAGAATAAAGTGAATTCTATATCTGTAATGTTTCATATTTATATAAAACGTTTTACCCGCAATGAAATTATTATAACGATGTGAATTAATATGTGTATATTCTATGCAAAATTGCAACTTGCAAGTATACTTTCTTCGTTGTAAAACAAATTTATTTAAAAGAACATAAATAGTAAAAGACGGCGTTTACAACTATATTATTTTAATACATACAAGTAATGCGTATTGCGTATATAATAGGATACATAATTGCGTATTGGTATTTTTGTGTAAAAAAACATACTAACAAAATTATTGAATAACTCAACTGCATATTTGCTAGTTTTTAAGAACAAAATTAAAATTAAAATTATAATATAACCAACCAAACCTATACTATTTGCAAACAAGTTTGATTACATACAAAATATTATTATCAATCGACGAGCGAGTGTCTAATTCAAACTAATGACATAACATAATAAGTATTATATTTATTCCTAAAATATCCCTTGGAGGTATTTTAATATCTTAAATTTAGAACTCGTATTTTTTTTTTTACTTACCCATATAATATAAATTGTAATCATAGTATTATACATACAAAAAAACTTCTGCATACAAATACTTAGGTTCATCCTGGTCCATGGATGAAGCATCTTTTTTTTTAATTTGGTACCATTTTTCACAGAATAATAGTAAAAGCTCTCTGATATTTCGAACAAAACTAACTTAATGATAAAACAATATTGTTGTTAAATAGCCAACAGAATAGATAATAAAAATAATTTCTGAGTTGATGTATCTCCGTGTCGATCACATATAACATTTGATTACCAACAATTATCATGTTAACTGATCCTAAATTTCAAGCTTTTTTACTTTTTAGGATTATATTTATTTGACCCACATATTGATAAAAATTAAAAATTTTCACTGAAAATATTAGTACCCGCCTCAAGGAGAAATTTCGTGTTGATTTTAGACAATAGTGTTAACACTTTCAACTGTAGGTACAATCATACTTTTAACTGTTTAAAATGTATTGAATACAACTTAAAGTAAATATATGTTTTTTTAAATGTTCTCAGTTGAGCGAAAAAAGTCTCGATCATACTATTGTGTCATCAATCACCATACATAGTGCAGTGCTGCCACTGCTGCCACTGCTGCGTGAAGCTATAAGAAACGATTGTCGAGGAAAGTCGTTATTATATTAGATACCTATTTATTATAGAAGATTTCTAGTCGATAAAAGTATCAATATTTTATTATAATTTATTGTTGTCGTTGGTGCAACCCACGACATAGGTACAAAATAATAATACATATTTATACATTATATATAGGTATTATATACAGTTCTAATGACTAAAAAAATTGGTTTTTACTAAATTCTAAATTGTTACTATCGCCATTCAGGTGAGCAATGGTGAACACTTAAAACTATATTGTACATTATTAAATGCGTACGAGTGCAGCGATTTCGATGCATCACGTCGTATAATATAGTATAGGCTGGAAACAAGTGCAAACTGCAGCTGCACCGTCGTCGGCGATCGTCGATGACGCCGTATAAATGTCACTTAATTACTGTGCGATCGACGCCGGACATTGGTAAAAATAAAAAAAACCTCGACACGCCATGCCGCGTCATCGTCTTCGCGCGTAACCGGCCGGATACGCCTGCACCGGCTGTGGCTGCTGCAGTCGCTGCAATCGGTTGTGGTGGTAACCGCCGCCTGCACCGGAAGCTGGCTCGTTTCGATGCTGCTGTTCGTACAGGATGTCCCTGACCGCCTGCTGTTCCCGGCGCTCATGTTGCCTGCCATCCAGTCCCAGGCCGATGCGTTCGATCAGCCACTCCGACTTGTCGCCGTGCAGCGCGACGAACTCGTGTGTCCGGCGGGCGCTCACGTCCGGGTCAAACGGCCACGACTGTTGTCTGTGGAATTGCGCCGTCCCCAGCACGTTGTTCTGGAGGATTGCGATGATGCCCGCTTGGGTCGTGGGAGCCTGCAGCACCATCGCTACGACGGCAAACGCCTGCAGTGTGCAACAACAACAACAACAACAACAACAATAGTAATATTAGATAATAATAACAATGATAATATTTTTTTGTTTTTTTTTTTATTGATCCCAGTATTTTCAAAAACGTTTTATACTTATCTATGTGTGGCGTCGAGGTATATAAGCGGCAAATTCGGGAAAATAGACTAAACGGTGCGCGATGGGAATATATGACCTTAAAAATATGCATTGACCTCATTAAACAGTATAATATGATGGTAAAGCCAATAGACGATTTTTTGTCACACGCGTTAGTTTATAATATGAGATGTAAATATTGAGACCAACCTGTTTGAGTCCAATAAGCGACAACTATTGAATATTACGTATATCTCGTCATACGGTTATTGTAGCAGTACTCTTAAAATGGTGTATTAATTACATGTCAACCTTGCCGAATTGTTTTAAACGCTAGGTATAGGTAATACGGGAATTTGCTTCGAGGTGACAGGAATCAATATTATATGAAATTTAATTTTTAGATATTTCAAGATTACATTTTTAAGAGCACGGTACCATGCTATTTATTTGTTGGATGACTTTAAATATTGTGGTATGGACGATGCAGCTGAGGTGGAAGTGATACGATCGTATTTCCCAATCCAGTTGTGATTCCATAGGCAAAATAAGGAGCATGGTTATATACTTATTTCAGCGTTTTTTTAGTGCATGGACTTACGAGCCATGATGGTTGTTATTGGGCATTACTACCTTTAAGGACTTAGGGCGACTGGGTATACAAAACGCAGGATTGACATTCTTTACGTCCAGCCAGTGTTCAAATCCCCGAAAACGGTAACTGGTAAGGTCTTGTAACTCGTTGTATAAGTATCCATTTATAGGTATAAGTACCGTTCCTCCCCCGTTTTTTTATTTGAAAACTGCGAAAAAAATCTACACCCTCCGCATCTCTCATGTTTTCAAAAACTTAAACACTTTTCGAAGTAAACGAGTGTTTACTATGCTTAAAGAATCTCTTTGTATATAGTATATCCAACGCGATTGCATATAATATAGTGTACAATCCGCGCAAAATATGACGCAATAGGACCTGCGTAGTACGCTGCAGTGATCGAAACAATAGACAATATTACATTACATATTATACTGTGCTCTTGGCCTCGTGCTCGAAATCGATTCAATTGCCATCCTATTCAACAGTTTTCAAAAGATACCTCTTACGATAATTAAACGGCACTTCACACACCACTTAAAATTGCCACCCCAACAACACGTCAACACCTTATTGTTCACGCTGTACATCAATTAATAAACTGTATAGGATTTACTGCAGAGCTAGTACCTACATATATACATATATACATTATACATACATATATTGGTCTGAACAATAGTTATTAATTATTACATAGGTAGTAAGTTAATTAAATTTGTCAGTTCTTTCTGTTGCACCCGGTATATAAATTGTTAGTTTTAATTAGGCAGGTATACACTAAATTATATTTCTACCAACCATCTCATTTTACACCTATAATAAGTGTATATTATGATTTGTATACAGTCTATATTATACAATGTGATTCGCCGTGCATGCTAATTTCTTATCCATTTTTTTATCATTTAATACTCCAACGTCTCCAACTTAATTTTTCAGACAAAAACTTCCCTGTTCCCCAATACCGTGTAAAAGTATATTCATAATTGCTATTTAACAAATTTAAAAGTAGAAAAGAAGCTAGAAAAAAATAGTCTAACACTGATTTGAAATAATTGTTGGAAAGTAGACTAAGTAGAGACAAGTTTTTCCCGTCAAACTACATCGTAATAAAATTATTTGTTTAATTATTTATTTTAGGTTTTGCTACTCGTGTCACTTTATAAAGTTATAATATTATATTATGTATATGTGCAAGGCCGTAGCCAGAAAAAATATTTAGGGGAGTATAAATATGTTGTATCATATAATAAAATATGAAAATATAAAAATATAATTTAAATCAAGTTAATCTTTATTTAAAAAATAATTAAATCTTATTTCAAAAAAAAAATTCGGGTGGTGGGGAGTGGGGGGTTGACCAAGAAATGGTATTTTTTCCTCCAAAACTATTACTTATTGAAATTTGTAGGGTTTTCATTCTGAGTTTTTGTTTTTATTACTTACGTTTACATCTATACCGTATGCTATTTTATTATCTTATCGAAAACGTATGTAGGTAGGTAGGTAGGTACATAATTTGGTCGCTATTATTTATGCATTTTCTGATATTATGTTATTCATATAAATTATAATATACGACGGGTCTACTGTTGGGTATAGGTATGCGATACTAAATTTATTATAGATTCTTTTATAGACATCAGAATTTTTTTTATTCACATATTATGTTATGTATCCATTCGTTTTTGAGCTATAGTCACCGAATAATACATTATAGTTCGATGTTATCTTAATGTATACTGCTGTCGTCGTCGGATTTCCCATTTCATTGCGTTAGGAAATATTGATCATCTAAAAATTGTATAGATACACGTGCTCGTATTTAAATCGGTGGGGACACGCATCCAAACGGGAGAACGTTGACCTAAGACTTTTTGAAAATAATACTGAAAAATAAAAGTGTAATCGGTAGTTATTCTTTTTTTGAACCTGTTATGGCGTAATATCAATGTATCGGTTTGATAAAAAAAAAACCGGTTGTTTCACGTATTAATTGAATTATTCTTGAGTTCATGGGTGTTATTCCGAAAAACTCGTACTCGAAACCAAAATCTATCGAATTCTTTTAGGCGGGTACCTACATAGGTAACATTTACTGACTATTAAGTATAGGAACAATTTGTTATGTTACATTATGCCGACAGCAATAGGAGGTGTCTATATGAAATTACCTGTCAATGTCAAAATCAAAATTGTTTAAGTTGTTTGTTTCTCATCAAAACATTTTTAAAACCGGCACTTCCTACGATATCATCACTGTCTGGAAGTTATGTATCTATATAGTAGGAAGATGATCATTTGCGCCAGAGCAAGTAGTTGAAAATCGGATAAATCGTAATTTGCATCGAAATTAAAAAAAACTGAAAATTTATTAACTATAAAATGTAATTCATACATCGTTAGTCATGTCATAGGTTTATGAATAATTATAATAATATATTTACTTAGCAAACAAACAAACAAAAAAACGAAATTACAATTAAAAAACAAAATATAAATAATAGGGTTGCAAACTAATCCAATAAGCATAAGCATATGCTTGTAAACGGATAAACTGGGTTCATATTATGAGTAATGAGTATATGTAAATAAAATGTTATAAATTTAGAGTAATTAAATATAACATAGTAACAAACATTTAAAAGCAGGGGAAAATAGTGTTGATACGTTTCTAAATATATAGTTGTTAAAATTTACAAAGTTAGCTAAGTATATTTAATTAATAAAAGAATTCCTCTAACTCTTGGACTTCGTGTTTCAAAATTCGCATGATTACGTGGCGCAATTCAATGTCAGTTATTTTGTATTCTTGTTTATAACAATGCAAAGGCTGTAATTGTCTTATATTTACTTTATACATGTACAATACAAATCCTCCGTTCATAAACTTGAAAAATAGTTCTAACTTTAAACTTTGAGTAAATTAAATTTGTAGGTTACAATTTTGGTTTTCTAAGTATATATATTTATGTATAATGTAGAATTGTCTCCAATAGCTGATTTTATTTTAAAACTCATATAACTTTATTTAAATGTTTAATGGGAGTTAATAAAATAATTTGACTTTTACATTTTTTACTTTACATAAATTGACCTCCAAAAGTATAAAATACGGACATACTGTAATGTCGGAATTACATTAAATCAGATTTCAAGAACGTTATTTAGAAAAAGTTATTGGTGGTGGCAAACACGGTGAATCATCCTGGGTTTTTATGTATATTTTTTGTACATATATTATATTGAAGGTAATTACAATCGAATGCCAACCTTTAAAATTGCCATCTAATATGTATAAGTAAATATTTTCATAATTTTATAAGCGTTTAGTGACCATAACATGTAATATACTGACATACTGTGCTAAACAGTTAACCTATAGTGGCTACAGTTTATGATTTACACATGAATATTATACGATGTTTTAATTCGATTCCTTATTAGATTTTTGGAAATTATAAATATGTAAAATATGTTAAATTCTTGAGAAATATTCGCGACAAACGTAATATGTATTTATTTAAGTCAGTTATAATTTGATATTAATTCTATTTTAATATTGTATACTAATATAGACATATTAAACTTAAAAGTTGGTTTCGATTTTAGCTAGAAAAATATTTGAAATTATCGTTACACAAGTAAAGTACCTATTAGAGTTTTCGTAAGTAGGTACCTAGATACCCATTAAAATTTAATAGATTAAATACGAACTCGATAATGTAAACTGCAGTGTCATAATAATATTTATAAATAATTATTAGTTAGAGTACTTATAATACTTTCTAATGTACGACAGCGTTTTGATCGACATTAAAATTAAGACTTGTTAAGACATGTTCGGGTATTTATTTGTGCATCTACTGAACGTATATAATTCTTAAGACAATTTAAATTTATGTCTTATGAAATATGTAGGTGTAACCAAAACAAAAGCATTTGGATGTTTTTTATGAATTTTAATATTGAATAAATTATCTGTTATAGAACTGATTGTTGACCATTATTGAGTACGTGTTTTGCTTGTAAGAGACGATTTAAAATGTATAAATTTCTATAGAAATGTGAATTTAAAATTACACCTGTCTTATATTTTTATAATTAAGTCGTCAAATTTAGCTATTAGTATATATTTTCAATGTTAAGGAGGATTTTATGTCATGGTTTAATGGATAGAGTTAGTCCAAATGTCTAATTTTAAAAAGATTCGATCTAGCTATTATATCATCTTGTGACGGTTTTTTCAGTCGAACGTAACCGGCAGTATTCGTGTTTGACGTGCAAACGACAAACACACGTGTTCGAACGTACCTATAATAGTGCGTAGTTTGCTATTTTTGGACCCGTTTTTTAGACACGAAGCTTAAAATATAGGAAAGTCAGTGCCATAAAAGAACGAAAAGTCACAAAAATTCGTGATGAAAGCCTGATGGAACGAAAAATTGCAATTCGTTACATTTCAATTGCGCTTCTGCAGCGAGGGAGCAGGAGACGAAAATATATTTAGTAATTATTCGTTGTAAACAGTTTTCGTCGGCTTAGAGTAAGAAAGAAAGGAAAAAAAATCTCCAACAATAACCGTGTATAGTATCAATTATAACTCACCGTCGTCTACAGAAGCGGGGTCGGGTGCATCGGAAACGCGGCGGCGTGCATGGTGATAATAATATTGTAATATACGAGTCTCAAGAGACGTCTGGCCCGCACGTGTAACACTGATACGAACGCGCACGATAGTAATATTACGACGATCTTAAAAGTTGTGCACGGGTTCGAGATCGAGAAGAGGGCGCTCGTTCGTAATGATATAATAATAATAATAATAATAATACCTATGTGTGTACGGCCGAGCGAATGTGAGCCAGTGGGTCAAGTCGCGGCGACCGCATCGATGGCGGTCGATCGGAGTGAGTGAGAGAGAGAGAGAGAGAGCTCGAGGGAGAGAATGAGATAGAGCGAGTGAGCGGACGAAGAGGGTGAGAGAGAACGATGATAATGACGATAATAATAATATAAATATATTACTCTCTCGAGGCGGCGGCGGAGCGTTGCGACACGGCGACTATATAATACATACATGCTCGACGGCCGACTATATGTGTATGATAATTATCAGACGTTACGCAATTATTGTAGTTTTATTTTTTGTGCCTCTCGCAGGTATACGCGAGGCGTTTATATTATTTTCTTCTGTTTAATATTGTTTTTTTATATCGTCACCGCAGTCGCAGTCGAACGCGCGTATTGGCGTGATCCAGCTGGACTACACGTGTGTATTGGTCTTCTGGGTGATGAGTGAGGGGCAAAGGAGTGAGTGTATCGTATCGTTCGAAAAGGATTTAAGGTACCCGTGGCGCCCACTGCAGTTGTTGCTGTAAAATCCTATTGTCCCGGAGGTGTCATAATTGTGTCCTGCCCTATTTTACCTCCACCGTTACAGAGCTGCTACGTGCGTGGGAGGGGGGCCTTTATTGTAGGCTTACGACGTGTGTGTACCCCTAATACTTTGGCACTTCACCCGCCAACGCTTTGTATTGGTCACGAATGAAATGCACTCCTTAAGGGTATTGTGGGAGGGGAGGTGTTGGTCGACAGGGTGCGCGTTGGTAACCGACATTTTAATAATCTTCGCGAACCTATACATGGAATGGCGTTCTTTATCGATTGGTTTAACAAATATTTTGTAAGTACCATATTATTATCATTGTTTTATATACAGGCAAAACTACGTAGGTAGGTAGAGAATATTGGTTAGGTCACGAATTAAAGACATTATTGTCCCGAGTTTCAAAATATGCACAATGATTGTGTGTCACGCTCAGTATTATACGTATCGACCGTATCACACTGTTTCGGAAGTACCCAAGAAAGTTGACAAGAAATGAATTTAATATAATTGTAGCAAACGATAATATTATAATAATATTGATTGAACTGACTAATAAAAGTTTCAAATCGACTGCGTCGTCGTCAGCTCTTTCCGTCAAAATAGTCGTATAGTTACGTGTATAGTGTATATTTTTCTTTCAAAAGATTTTCTTATTTAACCTATACCTACGTTATACAAATTTGTAAACATCATTTACGAAAAAAAAATCATAAATTGATAATATAATATTGTGTTCTATCAATAATTCAAACCAGTAAAATCATCTTGTTTACTATAGGTTTGCTTATAGGTATGATAGTTATACCTCTATATATAGTAGAGCAGGGGTTTTCAGCCTTACTGAGATTTTTGGTGACCCTTTTTATTACGAAAGCATTAAAAAGTGTATGCACCGGCGGACTTAGCAAACTTTGTTTGGCGACTCTCCAGTTTGAGAATCGCCAGAGTGTATGGTTGATTTCCTGCAACCTCGTTGCCCAGAATTATGCGAAGACCGAAATTAGTATATAACCTAAGTATTATAGCTGCAGGAGTATGCATGCCGTCGATCAATCACGTCATTGCCGTGAGGAATTGTATGCGCCGTCTGACCGCGCCATAATAATAACTCGGTTAGAGGTATCGTCTATACGTTTTTCCTTGTGCGATCGCAACCGACTGAGACCGGATTCGCATTGACTTGATGTAAGGCGATTATGACACTTCGCACTCGTGTGTTTTTTTAAAAATTAGTTTAGTGTGTACAACTGTAGTCGAAACAGTAACACGGATATTATTTTATTAGAAGAAGAAAAAAATGACTAATTTTTGCTCTAGTATTTATTTTGTCAAAAGAAAAAAGAAAATATCATGATTAAACAGAGAGATGAAAAAAAAATAGCTTATTTTCGGATTTTTTAATCATCAATAGTTACTGTTAGGGTTCTGAATTTGAAATATTTCAATATTGAAAATTTCACTCTCCTTGAAATATCTCAATGAAATATTGAAAATTATTTTTTCTTCTTTAAAACGTGTTGGATTATAGATGATTATAAATAAAATAATATATTGACTATACATAGAAAATATTGATAGTGAATAACTTATCACTTACCTATAGTTTATATCAACCATGGTAAGCGAACTACACAGATATATAAAAATACTAGATGGCCGACTTGGGAATGATTTTGAAGCCCACAAAATGGCCGAAATTCTCTTATCTAAGAGGTAAATGTTTACATTTTCAATAGAGTTAAAGAATAAACTTAGTAAAATATAAATATTGTTGATTAATTATTTCATGCTTGTATATTTTATTTATAGTGCTGAAAAATAGTCCTGACAATATTTTATGAAAAAAATGTAAATATACCAAATATTATAAATTCTTTGTTTATATAATTTTATAAATTATAATCATATGAACGTCGTTAGGGACTGGGGAGAGTATCGCGTTTACGTGGTACAATGTACGAATATATGATTATTAAATAAATGTATTTCCCAACATTAATTTCTTATATGGACGGGCTATTACTTGTTTCTTATTTTGTCAAATTCTCCTGGTGTATTTAAAAATAGGTCTAAAAATAAATCAAAATCTAAACCCCATTATTTTCAATTATTTCAATCAATATTTTTATTTTTTATTTTTCATCGAAATGAAATATTTCAAGGAAATAAATTTCATGAAATTTTAAAACTCTAGTTACTGTACATTTTAATATAAATTTAATATATTTTATTTTAGACGCCTAATATTTATATATTGTTATTAATTACACATATATATTTTGTTTTGGATTGAGGCTTCAACTACTAAGATCATTAGCTTGGTACTGTGTATGGGGAGGGGGGGGGGCTGTTGGTCGCAACACGTTTTCGTGTGTGACAAGGATTTGTTACTAAAAACTCAAGTGGTCACCCATCCGAGTGCTATCAACGACGGCCGGTACGTATGCTCGGAGCGTTGCCCCAGATTGAGCATACCGACAGCGCCTCACCATGCCACTATTTACTGTATTATGCTTAATGTTGGACAGATATATTTAGTGGCTAACAAAATTGCAAGCAACCTCGACTGTCATTTCATTATATTCATCATACCATGCTTACGCAAAAAAATGTATACAAAAATGAAATAAGTGTCCATTACATATGCTATTATATATACTGAAAAGCTTTTTTTACTCGGAACACGTGAAATATAATCTGTTTTCGCGTAAACGTGCCCATTATGTGCAATGCTTTTAAACCCTTTGTAGTATTATGTGACCGTAAAATAATTTCCGGAATCATAAGTCTGTATTATATACAGAGTGATTCTCTTAACAGGATACACTCGTTATTTGGGAAAGTATACTCAATATACATTAATATTTAGTCTTTGCGCGAGGTGTAGTTTTTTCAACATTTATGATTTTGAAAATTGTAAGAAACGTACAGTTCTGATTGGTATTTTATGTTGCCCTATTTCCTTCCCCCATCTTATAACGTTCGTCGTTGAAACCATTGCCGCTATCCAATTTCGGTTTTTAAGTTACAACCTACAATTGTTTTTATTACTTAATTTTTAGTTATGACATATACTCATATGAAAATGTATACATTAGGCCACTAGTTGTTTTAGTACTTAAATCACTCCCAAACACAAGAAAGTGGCGTGGTATTTGGCCTCAGACACAAACTTGTTCTGAGTGCCAGCACAGGCCGGTGTCACTAGTTCCCTGGTGGGTGATCACCCGAGTTCTTAGTGAAAAATCCTTGCCGCACATACACGTGTTCCGAACCAACCGTATGGCCACCCTCGCAGTAAACACCTGCTAATAACCATTATGCAGTTGATGCCATAAACAAAAAAAACAAAAAAACAAAGACATACGGAAGGCGGTATAATATTATTGTTAGATTGCGTGTACCTAAAACTTTCCAAACAAATTTTAAAAAGTTAGTTATTTTCTAAACCATAAGTGCTCCTGGTGTAGAATAACCATCCAGTATATTATACGCGTCTTTTATACATTTATAGAGCATATTCATTCATCGATTGGTACTGTCAACTCAAAATAATTTTCGAACTGATATTTTTAAAATAACATTATGAATGACAAAAATTAGATATCTTTTTCGGTTCACTTAGTCTTAGATAGAAAAAAAAATAGATTCCGAGACACTCAAAACATGTGGGCTCAGTTAAGGGCTGAAATGTATGTAAAAATGTCTTAATATTTTCGATTACTGTCGGATCACAGTCGAGTATTCGATCGGCGTGGCAAACGGAAATTATATGCGTAAGTCTTTTACGGCTTAGGCAACCGGAATAAAAATATATGTGTCTCCCCGGGGTCGTTCGACGATTATTTTTACGATTTGTCAACGGTTCGTCCGACCGAGTCACAAACCATATTATATTAATACGGTGGCCCGCAATACATGTTCACATGTATAGTCTCTATATTATGGAATCGAACACAATATTATCGATTCGCAGTCAAAACGCGAGTTTATGGACAATTTTGGTACCGATATAGCTGGTTGTTCCTACATCATAATACACGCATTTATTCAGAAGCAATTGCCGTTTTTTCCGTTTTTCAAATGCCCGTCGGGTCGAAACACTTTATTTTTATTTGATATTGTATAGTAAATTTTAGGGCAAAGGGACGCCGAAATCGACCCTGCGATATTTCCGATCCCGTTGCGTGTACAGTGTACACACAACGTACGTGGTGACCTACATATAGACCGGCCATTCTCAATCATATAGGGTCGTGACCCAATTTCGAATGAATTCCAAAACAATGTGCGTAATTGATATGACGACTTATAATTGTTGTTAATATAATAGTACAATACACGAGTAAATATAAATAAATGAAGATGGTAACCCTCAAAGGTTGAAAACCACTGGTATGGACCACTTGCAGCCGACGTTT